CACACCCACCCCAGGTCTCCCCATCTCAGCCATCCCATTCCTCCTCCATCCCCATCCATCTCTCTGCGCTTGGGGGGATTTTGGGGGGGGGGGGACTTATTTTTTTTTCCAGCAGAGAAGAGGGGAGCTGGGCAGCCTCATTGTTCTCTTTGTTAGCCCGAGCCATGCTGCGATTAGCGTGGTGACATCATGCTCTACGCTTCCCATTGGCCTGCGTTGCTTCCCCACCAACCACGCTCCCGGTCGGCACCGGGACACCCAACTTTTTGGCACCCCTTAATTTCACATCACTGACCCTCTTTAGATATGGCACCGCCGAGCCCAGGATGATGAGAGCTCGATAAGAACAGCTGCACATCACGTTGTGCCCTGTGCCGGGGGCAGCATCTTGCTGTGTTCAGCATGGGGAGGTGGTTCTGTGCTTCCATGGGGGTCCGTGGACCCCCTTGGTGCGTTGGGGCTCACGTGGAGGATGCTTGTGCTGTATCAAGAAGGGTCACAGTGCCTGCTCGCCCTTCTGCGTCGTCCCAAGCTCACCGATGGGGTTCCAGGGTCACTGATGGGATCCCAGGCTCACCAATGTGGTGCTGGGCTTGCAGATGGGGTTCCAGGCTCGCCAATGGGGTCCCAGGGCCACCGATGGGGTCCCAGGGCCACTGGTGGGGTCTTGGGCTCACCAGTCGGTTCCCAGAGCCACTGATGAGGTCCCAGGCTCACCAACGGGATCCTGGGCTCAACCAATGGGGTCGCAGGGTCACCCATGGGGTCCTGGTCTCACCGATGGCTGTAGCCCCCCCCCCCGCTGCACTCTCTCTGAGATGTGCTCCTTGTGCACCATCTGTGCACCCACTCTTGCCCCCCCCCCCAGCGCTGTTGGCTCTGTGCTGTGCTCCCCCCTCTCATGGTGGGGTGGTTTGGGTTCAGCGCTCGGCACCGCGGGTTCTGCCCAGCAACGGTGGTGCTGTGTGTGCTGGTTTGGGGACGGTTTGGTGCTGCGAGACGGGACCGAGGGGTTTGTTTGGCTCTTTGTAACTGGCAGAAAAGGGTGGTGGTGTGCAGGTGATGGGAGCTGTGTTGGGGATGGAGAGCATTGGGCATGAGGTGGGCATGGAGAAAGGATCTTTGCGCCACGATGAGTGCGAGGGGGTGTCACCGTGCTCTCTTCCACTTTAAATGAGGGATGTGCGAGGCTCTGGGGCCTCAAAACCCAGCGCAGCCCTTCCTCCATCAGCCTCCTCTTCCTCACTGTCCCCCTCTGCTGCAGGGATTGAGGTCCCTCGCATCCCCAGCTTGGTGTTGACCACGTGTGCTGTGGGGATGCTGGGCCGGGGCGGCGCTTTGGGGCGGTGGCTTTGGGGTGATAGCAGGCTGAGGGCTGCGTGTCCCCATCCCGTGCAGATCTGTGAGCCTTCCTGCGAGCTGTGCTTGCTGCTGGGCGGCACTTTGGGTGCTGTGGGACCCCCGTGTTCCTGTCTCTGCAGCCTGCATTGCCCTGAGTTTGAGTGCAGAGCTGCAGGTCCTGCAGTGATCTGGCAGCACCGTCCGACCTGCGCCGTGCCGTCCCACATGGGCTGATGCACGGCAGAGGGTGTTGGCTGCAGTTTCTCCTGTTTCTCTCTTCTCTTTTATCTCTCTCCTCCAGAGCTAAGTTAAGCAGATCAGGAAGTAAACCTTTGTTGCACGGAGTGCATCGGTGCCATCTCGGTGTTTGTGTGACATGAGCCAAAGTCCCAGGCCCTTCTCCATGCCCACCCCACAACGTGGCCGGGCAGGATTACGTGGCTGTGCCTCCTCGTGCAAGCCTGGTCATGACTCCATCCGTGGGAGGGATTGTCTGCTCCAAATGCTGTGGGCACCGATCGTTTGGCTCTTTGCAACCAGCAGAAATAGGGCAGCGGTGTCCAGGTGATGGGGGCTGTGCTGGGCATGGAGAGATTTGGGCACGGAGTGGGCACCGGGGTCCCTGTATGGGGGTGAGGGCAAAGGGAGCATCCTGAGCACTGAGCTGAGCCGCGTCCCCGAGGGTGACCCTGCTCTGAGTAGAGCTCCCAGGGCCACGTGCAGGCAGTGCATGGATGGGCTGTGGCACAGCCAGCCCGGGGTCAGTGCCACGGCGTCCTGCTCCACATCATCAACACGTGGAGCTGCGTGCAGGGCAGCAGAGGGCAAAAAGGGCGCAGAGTTGGATTTGGGAGGATTTGGAGGGGAGCATCCAAGGGGTGATGCAGTGCCATCTCCGGGTCATCGCTTGGTGGCGATGCTGTCTGTGCTGGAGACCCCCAGGGTGAGGACAGAGGAGCCCCCCGGGCGGTGCGGATGTGTTGGGGGGGGGGGGGGCCCCCGCCCGCCCCCTTGTGGGCTGCAGCTCCCCCTGTTTTGTTGGAGTTTTTTTTTGCATCTGTGGCAACACTTTTAAAGCCACCTTATTTATAGCCTCGTAGAGAAGTCTGGCACCTTGTTTTCCTCATCCCTCATCATTACTGCTGCACCTTGGGTCGCCCCAGCAAACAAAAAGCGCAGCGGGATGCAGGCGATGCTGGGGGACCCACTCCATCCCGGGTCCCCATCGCTGGGGTTGTGCCGTGTGGACTCAAGAAGGATGTGGCCATCTGGGCTGGAGGCGTGTTGGGACTGATTGAAAATAGCTCCTGCTGGTACAGAGCATTCCCCCCGCTGCAGGCTGTCGGTGAAGCCATGTGTTGTGCCGTTCGGGTGCACCCCAGGTGGGATGTGGAAGCTTTGGGCACTTCCCAGAGCTGCCTGCGGATGGGACACGGTGGTGTCAGGCTCAGTGATGCTGATGGACCCCTTCCAGTGTGGGGTATTGATTGATTCTGTGGGGTTGTGTGGGTTTAGCATGGGGCCAGCAGTGGTGTATTTAACTGTGTCACCAAATTGCAGTCCAGCGGGGTGGCCGGGATGTTTAGGGATCAGCCATCCCACAGCCAGCAGGCATCAGCCCCATTTCTCTGCTTTGGGTGGAGTTTGGGGCTGGAGACGGATGCGTCTGCTGTGTCCCCAAAGGTGATGGCACCAAAGCTCTCAGCCCCCAACATGCTGTGAACCCATCAAGGTTCCCCATCCCTGCAGCGCATCCTCAGAGCCTCGATCCCCAAATCACACCTGGTGCTTTTAGCAGCTGAGCATTCGGGGCTTTTCCTCCCCTTTTGCTTCCTGGCCTCTCCCCCAGTCATTGAGATGCATGTGGCCCTGTGAGTGCAAACCCCACATGCGGTGTTGCTGTTGCCTTCGCCCGATTTGCAGTGCATGGAGCAGGGCAGCCCTACAGCAGACGCTGGGAGGGCAGCGTGGGGCTGCAGCAGTGCTGACACTTAAAAATAATAAATGGGTCTTTAGTGGCTGCTGGTTCTGCCCAGCCCCAGCCACTGGGCCGCTGCTTTCCCCGCCCCTGCGCTGCCCCCAGCCATAAATACACCTTCCAGTTGCTGTCCTAAATTAGGAAAAGCGCCGACAAACCCTTCTCCACCCACATTCTTCCTTGGCGAGCTCTGCAGCCGCACACGGCTTCACCAGGAGCAGTGCTGGGAGCCGGGAGGCTCTGGGGTTGCAGGAAGGGCTGAACCCGGGTGGGAATGGATCCGTAGGGCTGCATCCCCAGCTGCTCTCTCTGTCCTGGAGCTGCACGCGGGGTTTTGGAGCTGTGTGTGGCTCTGCTGCCTCTGTCCCCCCCCGTTAGGTTCCCTGGGGATGTCCCTGCATGGGACGGGGCTGCTGGGGGTCCTGCTGTAGCCCCCCCAGGGCTCCTTTTTCTCTGCTGCTGGGAATGAAGAGGAGGAGGAGCTCTCCTTACGCTCGCGGCTGCTGTTCTGTGTGCACCGCAGAGCTCTCCCAGTGCCGTGCAGCTGTTTGGTGCTATGAATGGGGATCTGCAGCAGCAGCACAGGGATGGGCTTCACGCTCTTGCCCCTGCTCCCTCTGTCCTGTGGGATCCCAACTATGCTTTGGGTGTGCTGTGCAATGGAGTGTGCACCGGAGAGTGTGATCGCTGGGGCTGGGCAAGGCAGCAAACCCCATCTCAGCTGGCACCCACCTGCTTTGGTGTTCCCCCCCCTAAGAGGAGTTTGGAATGGGTGAGGATGGGCTGCCGGTGCCACCCTGTTCACCCATCCCTCTGTGCCCATTCCTGCTGTGCTTGGGCTGTTTCCTGGCTTAGCAGCTGGTGTTGTGAGTTGTGAAGCAAGAGCCTTCTCCAAGGGTGTCTGGGCTGCAGCTGCAGAACCGGGGCACCTGTTGGGTCCTATTGGGTCCTGTTGGGTCCTATTGGGTCCTGTTGGGACCTGCTGGATACCTGTGGTACCTGCTGAGTCCTGCTAGTTGTGGGTCCTGCCGGCTCTGCATCTCTCCCTCCTGGGCGCTGTGTTCCCACCAGGTCTTGGCTTTGATGCATCATCTTTTCCCCCTTTTCCTTCGCTCCCCAGGTTGCAAAATCAAAGCCCTGCGCGCCAAGACAAACACATACATCAAGACGCCGGTGAGGGGCGAGGAACCCATCTTCATCGTCACCGGGAGGAAGGAGGATGTGGAAATGGCCAAGAGGGAGATCCTCTCAGCTGCTGAGCACTTCTCCATGATCCGAGCGACACGCAACAAAGTGAATGGGCTGACGGGTGCCCTGCAGGGTCCCCCCAACCTGCCGGGCCAGACCACCATCCAGGTGAGAGTCCCATACCGCGTGGTGGGGCTGGTGGTGGGCCCCAAGGGAGCCACCATCAAGCGCATCCAGCAGCAGACACACACCTACATCGTGACACCCAGCCGTGACAAGGAGCCCGTCTTTGAGGTGACGGGAATGCCTGAGAACGTGGACCGGGCCCGCGAGGAGATCGAGGCCCACATCACCATGCGGACGGGTTCCTTCGTCGACGTCAACGCCGAAAACGACTTCCACACCAACGGCACCGACGTCTGCTTGGACCTGCAGGGTGGTTCTGCTGGTCTGTGGGCCAAAGCTCCGCACCCGGCCCGCCGGCCCGCGGCCGCGCTGCGCAACGACAGCCTCAGCTCCCTGGGCAGTGCCTCCACCGAGTCCTTCTACAGCGGGCGGGTGGCAGATAACAGCCCCACCAGCCCCTACAGCACTGGCGGTGGATTCACCTTCAGCGATGCGCCGGCCCCGCTGGGCTCGGAGGAATGTGACTTCGGCTTCGACTTCTTGGCCTTGGACCTGACGACGCCGAGTGCCGCCGCCGCCATCTGGTCGCCTTTCGAGCGTGCTGCCAACCCCCTGCAAGCCTTCGGCGGCTCGCAGAGACGCAACAGCGGCACGGCCACACCGCGCCATTCACCCACTTTGCCCGAGAGCACCGGAGGGGCCTTGGAGCACCCCTTGGCGCGCCGCATCCAGAGCAACCCCGTCAGCACCTTGTCCTGGCTGCCCACCCAGGGCTCGCTCTCCTCCTTCTCCACCAGCACGGGTTACTCCTCCTCCTCATCGCTGCCCGGCAGCGTCTCGGCCGCCTCGGGTTCACCCACCGACTCCAGCAGCTCCGACGGGCATCGCAAGAGCTCTCGTGAGTGCATGGTGTGCTTTGAGAGCGAGGTGATCGCCGCCCTGGTGCCCTGCGGCCACAACCTCTTCTGCATGGAGTGTGCCATGCGCATCTGTGGCAAGGCCGAGCCCGAGTGCCCTGCGTGCCACACACCGGCCACCCAAGCCATCCACATCTTCTCCTAGCCGGGGCCAGCTTGACGCGGCGAGCAGCCCCACTCCCCTCCCCTCCAACACAACTTTTTAAGGACTTGAAGCGGTTGGGGTCAACGCAGCCGTTGAGGTCAACGCAACCATTGGCATCAAGGCAACCGTTGGGGTCAACGCAGCCATCGGCGTCAACGCAACCGTTGGCATCAAGGCAACCGTTGGGGTCAACGTAGCCGTTGAGGTCAACGCAGCCATCGGGGTCAATGCAGCCATTGGCATCAAGGCGACCGTTGGGGTCAACGCAACCGTTGGCATCAACGCGACCGTCGGCGTCAACCCTTTTTATTTAAAGGATCGGACTGGGGGTGCAGGGGTGGGGATGGAGATGCTATTTTTCTCCCGCTGGATGGAAGCCGGAGGGCAGGATCGCGGGGAGGGAGGGGGCAGAGCAAAGGGGTCGGGAGGGCTGGGGAGGAAGGGGCAGACGAAGACGACGAGGAAGAGACGCAGAACCGCAGAGAGGAGCAGAACCCAATGTTTACAGAATAGCTTTAACTCTTAGCCCGGCTGTGGCAGCTGGGGGGAGGAAGCCCAGCTGTTCTTCAACAGTCCTTTCCAAATAACAGTATTCAGTTTGCAAAGTTAAATAAACAGAAAGAAAAGGTCCGGTTGCACTTTTTATTTTAGGACACGCAAGGGTTGTCTTTTATTTTTTTAAAAGCATTCTATTATTATTATAATTTTTTCGTTGTCGTTCTTTTTGTATGTAGTTATTTTTTTGGATGATTCTTGACGGTTCTATAAATATATATATATATATATTTTTTTTTTTTGTAACACAGGTCTTATCTTCTATTTTGCCAATGTGAAAACTGCCCAAAAAAAAGCATTACGAGGGGTTGGAGGGGTGAACACGGCACGGCGCAAAGAGAAAAGCAGACAGATTTCTATATCTCCTTTTTGTTTCGTGGTTGGTTTTTTTTTTGTTGGTTTTTTTTTTCTTTTTTTTCCCCTTTTGTTGTTGTCGTTCTAGTTTTATTTTTTTATTTTTTACCTCTTTATGTATATGTAGGGAATTTATAGGAAAATATGTACTTTATTGAATAAATTTTAAAAACTAAAATATATTTTATTTTAAAAAAGAAAATAACGGACCTTTAACCTTACATGGCTAAAGTACTGATTATATATTTGCTGAGCTGACTTGACGGTTATGAAAATTGTATCAAGAGTTTTATTTTTTGACTTCAAAGCCTTCTTAATAAAGACTTTTTACTATATACGAATCCGTGTGCTGCCTCTGCTGCGTGGCCGCCTCCAATCTCTTGGGTTATGGGACCGACTGGGGGAGAAATGGGTTGGTGTCCATGGGGTTGCACGTGGCAGCCCTTGGGCAATGAGAGATTGGGTGTTTTTGAGGCAGGAGGTGTTGGTTTGTGCTCCCATAGTGGAGAATGATCGCCGTCCTCTGCCTCTCCCCTTATGGGTCATTGAGAGACGATGGTGCCCCTGGGCTGTGGGACCCAGTGAATGGGCCGTGGGGAAGAATGGGCCGTTGGGACCCAGAAACGATGGCACCTGTGGGCAATGGGAACCCATGGGCACCCATGGGAATGAGGACCCATAGGCCATGATGCCCAGGGGGACTTAGGTCCAAAAGGGTGGCACCCAAGGGTGGTGGCACCCATAGGCAGTGGTACCCACAGACCGTGGAGGCCCATGCCAATGAGCTGACACCCATGGCTGGCAGAAAAGTGTGGGGTCCTGGAGCTGGGGATCGGTGGAGGACCAAGGACCATAGACATGGGAGGACTGACATGGCCCAGGATGGGCATTTTGTGTCACTATGAGCGTCAGGCAGGGAAAGGCAGATTGCTGTGCTTGATGGTGGCACTCCTGATCAGTTTTTGAGTAGAAAATAACAAGGATTTTCGCTGTTTTTGTTCAATATTCTCCTTCCTTGATTTTTTTTCAGTATCCCTTCATCTCTCAATTGCAGCTATGTGTTCCACCTTGGAGGAATTAATCTTTCCTCCCTTCCAACCAACTTTACTCATATTTATACACAATTCCTTTTACCTCTGTGTAGAAAACACACAGCAGTGCACTCCCTAATCCACAACACCCCCATTTACATGTGCAGATATATTCCCTCCTTCTGCCTTCACGAACAGCAGCAGCAGAACAACATTTCTACTCAGGGCGCTGTGTTTTCTTACCTAAAAAAAGAAGAAAAAAAAAAAGAAGTGTTTTGTTATTTTGTTAATGGCTTGAGTTATTAAGCACAGCCCTGCTGCCCTCAGGCCTCAGATATTCGCTGCCTTCCACTCAGGATCACGGCGCCACTTCCGCGTTTACGCGCGCATGCGCGTTACACTGCAGAGGACCGAAGACCATAGATATTGGATGACTGGTTGCGCAGAGCGGTTGAATGCTCTCGCTGCTCTGTGGAGGACCGAAGACCATAGATAGTGGATGACTGGTTGCACAGAGCGGTTGGAGCAAAGCAAAAGCCCTTTCGCTGTTTGGTGCGCATGCGCAGTGCGAACAGGAGGACCCATTACCATAGACATGAGAGGACTGGCAGAGTAGAGCGGTTAGAGCAGAGAAACGCCATTTCTGCGTTTCCGTGCGCATGCGCAGTACGACCAGGAGGAGGAACATCTACGCGTGTCGGCTCCCGAGGCTGCGGTTCGCCTGAGCAGCACTGAGGGTCTCCTTCCTACTCCGAGCCTTGGGTCTGAGGATGAGAGACTGGGCGGGCACGGGGCAGGCTCTCCGGTCAGCCTCCATGCACAGCACGGGGGGGAAATTCACTCCCTGCTGCCCCAGGAGCATCCACAGCCATGCAGGGGCTGTCAGTGCGGGCAGCGCTCTGCCCTGAGCCCTGCTGGACCCCTGCGCTGCTCACACAGGTCCTGGAGCACAAAGGATGGGGGAAATGTGATCCAGGATGGGCTCTGGCACCTCCGCTGCCACGCACAGGGCTACGACTCTTCGGTCTCTCCAAAAACTCCCAATGCACTTTTCCTGCTCGCTTTCAAATTAGGTTTTTAATTAAATAAATAACGGCGAGGGGCCTTCAAGGCAGTATCACTTCACAGTGTAGGGCATGAAGGTGGGAAGGGGGAAGAGTCCAGCACTGGGAGCATCTCCAAGTGAATGTGCTTTGTAAGAAAGAAAAAAAAAGAAAACCCCAACAAAACCAAACCTCCTCCCCCTGTGCCTCCCCTCCCCATCCCGGCCCTTTCCACCCCTCTCCCTTTTAAAGTGATGTGGAAAAATGCGCCGCGCTCTCCTGTTGACACGTTGAAAGACCCCATGCGAATCTGTAAACAACACTGAATAATATAAATAAGAGACGCTTCTGCCTCCTCCAGCCTCCCCTCTGCTCTCATCGGGGCTTGAAACAAACCAAAGAGAAAAAAAAACAGTTTCAGGAAAAACTAAAAACCTTCTTGGCTGATGGAGAGGAGAAGTCAAGGCCCGGCCCTCCCTGGGAGGGCTGCAGCTGCTCTCTCCCTGCCCCCTCCTCTCCTTCCAGCCAAGGAGTTTTCTCTCTCCCCCAGAAAGGGGGAATCACAGCCTGGGAAGTTCCACTATGGAGCTGGCATTTGGATTTGCTTTCCATTTCCAGCAGCTGGGTGCAGCCAAAGACCTCTGTTTTACCATATGTGGTTCGCAGAGCGATGCCCGGTCACAAGAGCATTGTGTCAGGATCTTGGCACAGCTCAGCGTGGGCTGGGACTGAAACAACCCCCTGCTGGCATAGGGGAACAGGTCTGGGGCTCAGAAGGTGAGAGATGAGGTCTGATCCTAAGCCATCCCTTGAAGCTGTCTGGCGCTCTGTGCTCCCTCCGCAGGAGCGCAGCCTCACCGTGCCAGGTAAAACGAGGATCCAGGCTAATAGTTTTAGTCACCTTCCAAACCCACTGGCAGCAGAAGCAACTGCAGGATCACAGCCTTGAAGGCTTCTACCAAAATAAGCAAAAAAATCTTAACCCAAACCCTTTCTCAAACACAGAAAATGTCTGGAGGAAGGGAACATCTGCACCAGAGCCCTGCCTAGCAAGTCAGCAGAGAGAAGATTCCCTTCTCTCCTGCACGGGAGAAGGGAATGAGAACCATTAGTGGATTTAAGCCAGGGACAAACTCTAGAGCTGGCACACATCTGTGACACCAATTGGCCACCACAGCTCCCTGCACAGCAGCCGGCCACCTCCTACCCACCCCATCACCTCCTGAGTGCTAACGGCAGTACAGACATCCCCTTCTCTCCTGTATGAGAGGTTGGGGTGATGTTTCAGAACAGAGGTGGGTGGAAAGGGAAGAAAGGAATGCCATGTGCTCTTCTGCTGGGTCCCGGTGCTGGCATTGGTGCCCTACACTCACTGGGTGCCCCAGGGGCTGAGGTGCACACTGTGTGCTCAAAGTGGCAGTGAGAGGATGGCTGGTGCTGCTGTGGGCAATTTTCTCTGATTCCAGCAGTACAGGAGCTGAAAGCTGTCACCCCCAGGCTGCATCCATCCCACATTTGGCATCACTGCCCCAGGGAGATGCAGGCCAGCGATGGGGTCAGAGCAGCTGAGAGCTGCCCTGTGCTGGCACCTTCTGCTTCTCCATATTCACCTTCACACTTCTAGCTCCAGCCACTGTCCAAAGCGAGATTCAACTCAGAGATAACTGTTCCCTTCTTCTGCAAAGGAAGGTGGGAAAGGCTTAAGCATGCACCATGCTATCGCAGCGTCCATTTCCAAGCCCTGAAGCTTTGGCCAGAGGACTGGAAGAGTTTGCACCATCTCACCTGCAGCTGGGGGCAGCGTGGGCAGAAGGAAATGCACACTGCAGGAGCTTTGAGAACAGCACTGTGTGCACCAACCACGACCCACAGCTCAGAGCGCAGGGAAGGGGAGGGGGGAGAGTGGCTTCTACTGCAATGCACTACATGTGGGTGAACAGCCAGGACTCCTCACCTTCCTTTGGCATCACCATGCTCACCTCTGCTGGTGAACAGCCCTCCAGCCCAAGCAGACCGTGCTCCATGCTGATTTCCTAAGCTCTCAGACCCTCTGTCCAAGCCCTGAAGTGCCCATAACACATCCCTGTTTTCAAAACATCTCTTCACTCACTGTCCCATTGGGCCAAAGGGCACTTCCCCTGTACTGAGGGCAGGGATTTTCCCAACAGCCTGGCATTACCTGGGGTAACACATGGTCAATGAAAAGGGGGGGTCGTGAGCCTCCCCCCCTCACTCAAGCCAGCCACCAGCTTTGCATGACTGTGTCAGAACACGCTGGAGAAGAAATGTGTTTGGTTTCACTGTAGCCTTGGATCAAGGAGGATGGAAAGACGGATTCTGACCAAGAGCTCCAAACTGTCCCTACAGAACAGTGGAAGTTCCAGGATTTGACTCAGTCAGGTCCAAGTCCTTGCTGGGTCCGTGACAGGTGTGTGACTGAAGATTCTCACTGTGACAAAGGCTCTGACCGAGCCACAGGTGCTGAGCAGGCCTGATGAGCAGTCAGGAAACTATTTACATCTCCGATGCCAATGAGGCCAAAATCTGTGACCGATAAGGACACTTGAGCAGGGGCCACCGCTGCCTCTGGGTCTCTGCCCAAATCCACAGGGCCAGCAATTAAAGGCAAACCCTCATTAATGTCTGCAGGGAGAGTGAAGTCCATGGTTATCGTCTCACCAGAGCTTTGTAATGTTTCCTGTTTCTCTGCCAGTCCTGGTCCTGCTGGTGGCAAAGCAAAGAGCCCCGTGTCCGAGGGGGTGACAGCATGCCGTGTGCAGGAAGCAGAGATGGTGCCTGAGGAGGTTTCTTCTGCAGGGTCGAAGGAACAATTTGTCTCTGAAGGCGTACTGCACTCGTAGCCCTGTCCCGATTCACTCATGCTGCCCAGGCTGCAGGCTGTGCTCTCCACGCTCAGGGGCTCTGCGTGCAGCAAAGGAGGGAAATGTAAGGGAGACGGACAGAGAGGGAGGGAGGAAGGGGAGGAAAGCAGTGAAATAAAAGCATTTCACTTTGGAGTCCACAACGTACGAAAACCAGAATCCAGTTCAAATCCCACCTGTCCAGAACAGTTCTTGTTTGATGGCAAAAATGTTTCTTTATCATAGCAAGCACAAATCCTGCCAGCATCTACTAAAGAAAGGCAGGCAGCAGGTAAGGGGGCATTGGTGTTTCTATAGAAATTAAAAGGAAATCTCAGACTCTCCAATATAAACCCCATCCTAAACTCCAGCCCCTCCAGCAGCTGGCAGGTGCCAACACGAAGCCCTTCTTGGTGGTAGGACAGAGAGAGGGAGTGAACCCAATTCAGTCTCTCTGAGTCTTCTCACAGCTCTGAGAGCAGTTCACAGGTACAGACTGACTTCTGGTGCTTCAAATCAGCCTCTGGAGAACACACCTATGCACATTAACTAAATCAGGAGCATTGGAAACAACTCTCTACTGCAGGTGCCCAAAGTCAGTGCATTCTCTTGCTTTGGGAATGCCACGGGCCATTCTTCTGCATGTGAAGCAGGACCAACTGTAAGTCATCTCCAGAAAAGTCAGTGCTCATCACTGCAGAGAAAGCCAAGTCTCCTTTTACATGCACCATACTCTGTGAGCACACTGACACGATCCAGGGAAAAGAGCAACTGCTGGATAATGGCAAAAGGAGAAAGGCGAAAGGGGGGTCCAGCTGCTGAGTGGTGGAGAGGAGGATAACTCCTCTCCCGTGGTAAACAGAAGGGAAGGAAGTTACCTGTGCTCTCAATTGCTAGCTGGTCTTGGCCAAAGTGAGAGTCCAGGCAGCTGGTGGCAGAGGGAATGGGAGGGGAGCTCCGAGAGCGGCTGGCGTTTTCCACCTCACCCCCATCCAAATCATTGTCAGTGTAATCCCTGCAGGGAAAGGCAGACAGCATTGTGACCACCCACAAACCAGAGAGATGCAGGCAAGGAAGACTCGGATCCAAACCCACCAACAAACAAAGCAACAGGGCTGCAGGGGGCTCACAAAAAGGAACGTCCATCGCTTCTCGGTCTGCAGAACCCAGTTTAGGTTCTGGCACGGAGGCAATCGCAGTTAAGTCTTAAATATTTTGATTTGACCTTTTAAAGCATTTCAGCTTCAAGCTTTTAGAAGAGCATTTGCTGTAATTTACGTAGATTGCAATTTGCCTCAAAGGGGAGCGTCTGGGAAATTAATTAATTCACCTCCAAAACATCAGAAACTGAGTGCATGGAAAAATCCTATTCCTGAAATTTCATCCATCTTGAGATTAGCCCTGAGCCCCCGATCCTAACCTCTGTCATCAATGCATTTATATGAAAAAGAAAGCAGTATTTTCTGGCCTAAGTCAGTCCAGATCCAAGCACGTATTTGCTTAACCATCCCTTCCCACACCAACGGTGGCTTAACTTCTGAGAACTACGTGCTCCCACCCCAAAAAACCTTCCAGAGCAGACAGCACAGCCTTTACAGTGGAGGTGCTTTGCAGCAGGGATCTTCACAATATTACTAATTTTAGTGTGAGAATATTCCACGCACGTGGCTCCAGGGTGGAGGACGTACTTCTTCCTTCCTAAACGAGTCTGCTGAGTGAAGTAGTCGTAGCGTTCTGACTTCTTCCACATGTAATAATATTCCACACATTCTCCCACTGACCGAGTACGGACCTGAGGAGGAACAGCACAGTCAGCACCCAGCTGTGTGTGTCACAGAGCAAGGGCTGCTCACCCGTTTTTATCAGCACAGAAAGTCAAGTGTGTGGCGGTGATGTTATTGCTACGGACACATCTACACTGCAGAACAGAAGCAGATACTGAGATTTCCAAGGTGGTAATCAGCCAGAGAAGGAATTCCCCATGGTGCAGAATTGTTCTTGCAGACCCCAGTGTGGGCTCACACACAGTACATTCATGCAGGACTTTCCTGCACCTCCATAGCACACTTAACACCAAGAGAGCAAACCTGCATCCATTTTCACTGGCCAGAGTCAACATGCCCACAATGAATCAGCTGCAGAACTGGACTCTCTGGTTCTGCCAACTCCCAGCACAGCAGCATATGTCCTGGGGCCCAGTTCTCCCTACAACAGCATCTTTCATTCTAGAGGACCCCAGGGGACTTTACAAAACATCCACATGCTCAACTCACTCATTCACAGAAGGTACTGCAAGGGCTGAGAGTTTGGAAAGAACTTTTTGAGACTTCCAGAAAGGGCTAATCAGTAATTAACTGACATCACTCATGCAGGCCAGTGTTGTTTGTGACTTCTCCCACCTGGAAAATAAGGCAGAGCAGGGCAGTGAACAGCCCATCACCTGCTAGCATGAGTCAACACAAAGCCCGGGGTTGGAACTCAGCAGTTCTGCACTTCCTGCATTAGCCAAGGCTCCAAATACACCTCTGTCTCATTCCCTCTGCCTTAGTGGGATGCAGGGCTGAACATTCTTACCTTGTTTGCCTGGATAAGATGGAAGTTTTTCCCATGGACCCTGAAGCCGTGTTCAAAATTTCTACATTCTTCTTCACTCCACGCACAAAGCTCATCTAGAGGGAAAAAAAGAGAGAAATGGGGGAAAACGTACAGAATCCAGGAAGAATTCTGTGCACCTGGATTTTGGGGTAGAACCCAGACAGGGGGTTCTCACCTCTGATAACCTTCACGTTGAACCGTAACCTCCGCAATGCCTCTTCTGCATTGAAGTTGCATTTCACCAGCTCGTACAAAGCCTAGGACACAAAAGAAAGTGGCTGACGGCGTGTAGGAGAGAAACAGACCAGAAGCAGAGCTCCTCCCGACTTACATCTGCCTTCTAACACTTGGCCAGCCTCATACTTGGCCTTCTAACACTTCTAACAGCCTCAACTTGGCCACCAGCCTGCGTTATGCTATTTCTCATTTGCACAGCACTGCATTACAAACCCTACGATGGAGAAGATGCAATTCTACCAGCAGCTCTAGAGATTTCTGGTGTGCTTCTGTATTTCTACAGATACTGGGGCTTGCTGTGAGAATCCAGCCTGGCTAGCTCACGGGAAACACAACTGCTCTGAAGTTTCTCCAGAAGTTTCACCTTCTGCTGGCTTAAAAGCAAAGGACACAGAATGCACAGAGGGCAGATCCAAATTGATGATCATGCCTGAGGGCAGGGAGGCCCTGCAGAGGGATCTAGATAAGCTGGATTGCTGGGCTGAGATGAATGGGATGAGGTTTAACAAGGCCAAGTGTCGGGTCCTGCACTTTGGCCACAACAACCCCATGCAGCGCTACAGGTTTGGGGATGAGTGGTTGGATGATTGTGAAGAGGAAAGGGACCTGGGGGTGTTGGTTGATGCTCGGCTGAACATGAGCTGCCAGTGTGCCCAGGTGGCCAAGAGGGCCAACGGCATCCTGGCCTGCATTAGGAATGGTGTGGCCAGCAGGAGCAGGGAGGTGATCATCCCCCTCTACTCAGCACTGGAGAGGCTGCACCTCGAGTGCTGTGTTCAGTTTTGGGCTCCTCACTACAGGAAAGACATTGAGGCCCTGGAGCGCGTCCAGAGAAGGGCAATGAAACTGGTGAGGGGTCTGGAGCACAGGGCTGATGAGGAGCAGCTGAGGGAGCTGGGATTGTTCAGTGTGGAGAAGAGGAGGCTCAGGGCAGACCTCACTGCACTGTACAACTTCCTGAAGGGAGGTTGTGGTGCAAAAGGGTCTGGCCTCTTCTCCCAGGCAAACAGTAGGACCCGAGGAAACGGCCAGAAGTTGTACCAGAGGAGGTTTAGGTTGGATATTAGGAGAAACTTTTTCTCTCAAAGGGTGGTCAGGCACTGGAATGGCTGCCCAGGGAGGTGGTGGAGTCGCTGTCCCTGGCAGTGTTCAAGAGATGAGGATCTATGAGATATGGTTTAGTAGCTTGTGGTACTGATAGGAATGGGAGGGTGGTTGGACTAGATGATCTTGCAGGTCGTTTCCAACCTTGTGATTCTGTGTGTGTGTATGCTGCAAGCTCTGCCTCAGAGGTTTTGCAAGGGCAGGATGAAGAGCCTCCAAAGAGCATCTGAGGGGCAGTCTCACTCATCTAGGAAGCAGGAGGAGAGGATCGCAGGAGGGAGGCCCCATCCTCTTGTAAGTGAGCCTTTTCAGGATCTCTGAAGGAATGTTGCACCATTATGACAGAATTTTACCTTAACAGTATCTCTGGCTACCAGGGTTTACCTGTTCGTTGTCTTTCACCATCTCTCCTTCTGGCAGGCTGCTGCTAGACAGCTCGTCCCACCGCCGCTTCACGGCACGGTATAGGAACTCTTCAACCTCTCTTTCAGGTAGGATGTTTGGGTCCCAAAGCAGCTGATCTTCATTTTCATAGGCTAACAGAAAAAGCACTGAAATAAGCTCAGAGAATCCCACTGCTTTTGAGAAACAATCAGCATGGATATACACTGCAGACATAGAAGGAGAAAGAAAACCTTTGTTTGGACTCCAAGCTGGCACCAGAGATGGCAGCCATCTGTGTGAAGGCACTGCACCTTTCCCTCTTGATTTTGGAGGCAGATGAGCTTAATACTGCTTGTACCTCTTTTAGAGCCCCAAGCATAGGCTTGACATGTTTCCACTTCTTCACAAGGGTTGGCTGGTGAGTTTTGTTGTTACCATGTTCTCTGCTGCTTTGATTCATTAATCTTAGCAACTCAAAAACTGTAGGTTGTAAGGTGTCTTTTCCCACATGCAGGAAACATAAGAATGAGGAAGAAAAGGCGGCTTTCAGCTACAAGTCTGGCCTGGGCTCAAGACTCTCTTCATCCTAGAAACAAAACTAAGCAGCTGCAAAGCTGTGCTAGCTTGCAATGCTCCTCCATGAGCTGCTCCATCCACATAAAATAGCAGCAGCACAAAGCATCGCTCTGTGCTTACAGCTCCTTTTAGGTTTCAAGGCTCTGAGTCCATGAGAGCAGGGCACAAAGCAATGTGTTTAAGTAAAATAAACAGCACGGAGGAAAGCAAAAAGGGATTCTGCAATAAAAATAACCAGAAATACAGTGATTTCATTTTCTGTTCAGATAACAACCATTAGCTTCATGTTTCACCTGTTCACTTTCTAGAGGCAAAGGAACCTTCCTGCCACATGAAGTCAGGTCAGAGGAAGCACTGGCAGGGCATAAAAAAGATCCCTGTGTGGATCTACTGTCAGTTTCCTCTCATTTCATGCTGATGCAAACATACACACTGCATGAAACACACTAAACCTGTGATCTTTGGCACAAAAGGCTGAGAGCACTTTCTTTCTCCCCTTTAACAAAGTTGCTTCCAGTCTGCTGGGTGAAAAGAACCAGTGAGGAAGTGAGTCATTTCTAAAAGAGGTGCTTTTCTGTTAACTATCTTCTTCAGAACCTCCACATGCTGCTGCTAGCAATGCATTCGTTACAAGACAATCTGCACATCAGCATGTCTGCACAACTAATTAGGAACTGTCAGCTCCAGGTGTATCGACTGGAAGTAACTCTTGGTACTTCAGGAAGATGCCAGGGAAGAAGACATCACAGCATCTTGCTTTGGCTACAGATGAGCTCCCCTCCTCCTAACCTGCCATGCCAAGCCAGTTTTCATGGAGCTTCTGCAGTTCTATGACCAGCCAAATCCAAGCAAACTAGTTTAAAGCTAGCTTGGATATGGCTGTAAATTTTGATGTCGATACTGAGAGATGCCAAGCTGAGAGATACAAAATAGATTTAGTGATCCAGAGCCCATCAGATCCCCAGGACAGCAACCCTACACCCAAATAAGACACAGCAAGGAAGCTGCCTTACCTTTTTCACTGTGCCTGTTTAAGTGCAGGATGGGAACGGTGGCTTGGAACTGAGGTCCAATGCTGATGTCCTGAAACACCATCACAGAGAGTTGGGTAAATGGAACAGGCTGCATGTTTACTTCAGTAAATAAACAGGCACTGAGTTTACTTCATTATTTAAGGACTGTGACACCACGAGGCCAGGCTACAGCTGCAGTCCCCAGTGTCACTGTTACTTCTAGGGAACTCTGATACTTTATAAGGTAGCTAGAAAGATTTACAACTAGGCAGAGCAAACTTCAGGGACCTCAGGCATTTAATGTTGGATATACAGCAAACAGCTGAGGATGGACAGAAAAGATGTGCTAAAGGCCTCCTGCAACCTTCATAACCAGGATGAATTTGGAGTCTGCTCCTCCCTTTCATAAGATGGTTCCCCTCCAGTAAAGCCCACTGGGAATACTGCCCAGCAATTCCCTTTGATAGGGCTCCAGAGTGCCCTTTTGACTTACCAAGGCACAACAGCACTTTGCATACGTGAAGCAGAAAACTGATAAGAGATTCTGAGATCACATTAAAGAAACACTTCCAATCCACGGATGCCACTTCCACAAAACACAAGGCACCGAGCACAAGAAAGTTAAAGCAAGAACACTTGCTTGAGGAATATCACAGTGCTTTTGTGTCATGTTTTCCTCTGGCTCTGGGACACTGCCTCAGCTCCCCTTCTGGATGTGCTTCAACCATTTACCTTCTTACACTCGCTAGATGGCATGGAATCCTCCTCTGATTCCTCAGCCATGGAGGAAGCACATGGAGATGAACAGGGCTCTTTGTCTTCATCAGCAAGGAAGTTGTTTGCTTTGTGGAGAAGGGAAAGATTTGTTGTTATGAAACGATTTATTCCTATTGCTCCCTCTCCTTCCCTTTATTTTCTGTCTTAAAGTCGCTTTCAGAGTGGCCCTCAGTGACAACTTCCCCATACTTCCACTCCTCCCTTTTAAACAAAAGAATGTTCAGTTGCCATATGGGTGATGCCAACCAAGCCTTCATTTTGTGAGGCAGCAGCAGGAATACGATCACTTCACACTGAGTCTCTCACGCACTTCAGCTTCATGCCTGATATTTAGCAACTGCCACAATACATCAGGCCACTACTGCTACTGAATTTATTCCCTTGTAGAGATGTCAGACCCAGCACTGATCTTACAGACTATAATTGCAACAGGTAGCAAAACATTTCTCACTTTCTCACTGTTATGAGTTATAAACACAGCTCTCTGATCCCAAGAGTCCACCCAAACTCACGTCCAGCTGATGCTGGGTGACCCCACCAGCACACAGGTTTATTCACAGCCCCCAGAAGGAACATGGGGAAATTTATGTCAGGGAATTTAGGGACAAAGTAAAGAAATACATCCCTGCTTTACCCTGCAGATCACATCTAAGTACAAAACAATTATTTAGAAATCAGCAACACGTACAGCCAGGCTGGTTTGGGAATAGGTCTGATGCATCGTGGGATGTGACCGATGGGGTCAGATCATCTGCTGAAGACTGTGTCTCCTCTTCCTCCCCTGAAAGCAAATCCTTCGCTATTTGTTCCTTTCAACAACAACAAGAAAGTGAAAAACAGTTTAGATTAAAAAAAAGAATTACATGAAAGCAGGAAAGGGGGTGGGGAGCAAGGTGTAAAGGAAAGCACTTCTGCCCCAGAGTGGCTGCATCCACAGCTCTCCTCACCCTCCCACAGCTTCAAAGACTGATTCTCCCTCCTGCTCCCCATCACCCCTCGATTATTCACCCTTGAAGCACTCCTCTAAGTGTTCAGAGGAGAGTGGACTCCTGTGGAAGCCAGAGATAGGTTAGCTAGCACTGAAGGTAGATCCAAACCTTCCCTGTCCATTCGCAGACTCACCTTACGAGCCAAGAACTGTTAACAAAGTTCCATACAGAGTTGTGACAGTGTCCCTTTTCAAAGTTATGGTTCCTCCAGCCTCCTCCATACTCTGTATGTTCATTCACATTTCTGCACCTGGTGTTTTTCACTGGGGCCCCAGAACCAGGCAGACCCCTTCCCTTAGCATCCCCCAAACTCCCTTTGAAAAGAGCCACCAGACACGTGGAGCCCTAAGGCAGCACAGCAAGCTGCAGTGCAGCCCAGCAGCACACACCCAAGCTGACAGCTGCTCTTACCTTATCCAGGGTCATATCAGGGAGATTTGGAGGGATGTCATTGCTCTCGCTGTCCTGCTCTGAAATGGGATCGGATGCCTCATAGCCATAAAGTGCAAGCAGCTCCTCAAATGGCATTTCACTGCTCTGAGCGAGAGGAGGACAAAGCTTCATCAGGCATGGAACAATCACCGAGAACAACAGCAGCTGCAGTGAACACAGAGATATGCAGAGGCAGTCATGGCAGCTCTGCTCTTCTGGGGGCTCTGAGTGCCTTGGGTAATTGCAGCACAATGAATGGGGGCATGGTCTTCCACCACAACCTGTTTTTCTCAAAGGTAAGGACAAGCCAGGAAATTTCACCCCCAAAACAACACAGTGGAAGTATTTTAGAAATACATTTATACCAGATTTCATGCTGGTGAAAAGATGCCAAACAGTAAAACTGTAGTGACAGAAGAGATGGAGCAAATCCCTGCACTGCTCTTGGGCCAGACCTGAAGAGCAAGGGCACGCTTTGTGTTCCACTGAGGCCCCCACGGGGATCATCCACCAGAGAACCACATCATCTGCTCTCTGTGGCTCCTCTCCACCATGGAATGGATGCTGCACGTGCAGCCAACAGCTGATGGCTCCCTGATAACGTGTGTGAAGGAACAGCAGTCAGTGGATACCTGGCAGACCATCACGTACTGCTGCCAGCTGCTGAAAGACCAACTCCTTGCTATCCAAATTCAGATCTAAGACCTATTGGTGGGTGGACTTAAACACAGCACAGAGCAAGCAAAACAGTTTCCCACAAGGATCTTTGGTGCTAGTACTGTCAAAGAAAAACAAGAAAATCCATCAGGTAATTTCCCCTTCCCCTCCCTTGCTGCCTTTACCTGAGAGGCACTGAAACTCTTCTCCAGCTCTTCTAAAGACTTCTGTTTCTCCTGAGCATCATCTTCTTCTTCCCTTTCTTCCCGTACGCCGTAGTTCTGCGAAAGGATCTCTGCTAGGTTCAGTCGGTGATCAGCTGAGCCCATTGACACAACTGCAGGGATTAAAACAAGTTGGACACCAGCACCACCCTGAACCCAACCTTCTGATGCAACAAAACCTGACGCGACCCTTTCTTGTGTGCATGTGCAGCCACAATAAGCCAGAGGAAGAGATGAGGCAGAAAAGAGTGAGAAAGAATGGAAACAACTGAACAAAGTCCTTCTGTGAGCACTACAAGCCTGGCTCCCTAAACATTCGCATCCCATGACTGTTTCCCAAGTATTTATGCTCCTCTCTTAGCTGGATCCTCTGATGTCACTCATCTGAATGCACGCTGCAGCTTTTCCTTCATTGGAGGCATTTTTAGGATAGCATTGGGAGAACAGCAAACAGACATTTGTAGGAGCTTTGGCATCATTCAGACTTATCCATCAAATGTCATCCGAATCAACCAACGGGTTCCAAAGATGTTGGAAGGAGAAAGGGAGGAAACAGACAGACTGACCCCAGGAGCACGGATTCCTCTGGAAATCAGACCAACAAACAGAAGGACAAAGCATGGCTACCTGCTGCGCTCTGAAGGCTGGGCTCTCCAGGACAAAGGCTGTGGGCTGGGTATGGTACCACCCTGGGGCTCTGCCTGCCCACCGAGGCCTTGAAGGAAAGAGAAAAACATGGCTGAGACATCTCTTAAGAACATAACACACCTCTTAACCCCACCAGTAAATGCAATCAGTTTCATTTCAAAGCAGAAATTAATAAAATCCACACAGGGTAGCACTGGAAATCGTGCTGTGCAAGAAGAACTCTTGGTAGGTGCATGGGGCAGCTCTCTCAGGGCTCTGCTCTTTGGGTTCTGCACCTTCCCCTCAGTCTCTAAGTGCATGTGGTGGAGTTTCCACCTTACCTTCAGCACTCTGTTAATTATTTATCCTCTCATCAGCACTCATCAGCTCCAGACCTCAGGAATTTATGGTTTACACGCTCACTTAAATGAAGGATTTTAACCCCAAATACACACATCACGCTGTGTTGGAACGCAGCACTTCCAGGACCTGAGCCACTCTTTGGAGACGCAATCAGACACGGCCATCCACCACCACGTCAGCTTCTCCCTAAGGCCTCACCACATTCAGGAGACTCAGAGGGGCCAGGCAAGAAATTCAGAGCTGGGTAAGCAGGAAAGGAGCCTGGGAGGTGTGAAAGTAGCAGAGGTGAGGTAGGAAGAGGTGAGGCAGGTGGATGGTGAGAACAGGATCCTGCCTTTTGGCATTCAGTGCGTGGTCAGAAGTTCAGGCAGCGATGTGGGGCTGAGGCCTGAAAAGCAAAGCAGAACAACTGCAGCTCCCTGGGCTGAGGGACGTGGAAATGCTGTTCATCAAGTTCAGCCCAGGCAGGGAGCAAGCAGGTCATTAAGTGATGCCTCTGAGCTGAGTGAGAGCATCTGACGGCAGAAGGAAGTCGGAGCATCAGTCCAGCACAGTCATTGCTGACATCTCATTGTGATCCTCTTTGTGAGCCAGGGCATCTTAGGGTGCTTCAGTGCAAGGCTCTAAAAGCTTAAAAAACACAGGTTCCTATCAAAACTGATCCTCTAAAAGGAAGTATGCACCAAAACAGCCACTCCAGGCTTTGGTTTAGAAGGCAGCACATGTTCCCATCAAGACAAAGACCAAGAAGGAGGGAAGGCAAGGACGTGTGAAGCAGCCATGGAACTCCTGTTCCTTCCCCTGCCCAGAGCAGTGAAACGAGGATGCCTCAGTCCCAGCTGAGGTGCACAGCATGCTGCAATCCGTCATCCCTGGGGCCTGAGCTTTAGCAACAGGGTCACCCCACTGCAGACCATTCTGGCTGCAGGCAGAGCGCACAGAGAAGAAAAGAGAGGAGGAATTTGTGGGCTAATGAAGGAAAGAGTTCAGCCAACCTCCATTTTGAGAGCAGTCGTGCTGGGAAAGGGATTCATAACACAGGAAAGTTCTGTGTCTCTTTGTTGGTCCTTGCCAGAATGGGACTGAGCACAAAACCCTCTTGGATAAATCCATCCAAACAAATAATCCCAGTCTGGTAAGGATGAGAAGGGTGTGGGCTTCACTCCCTTTCGCCTCGAGTGATGTGCAGAGCTCCCTGTCCTGAGACAATGATCCATATATTGACTGTGCCTCCTTCACACGGGGATCAATGCGGAGCTGCACGCAAAGGATTCTGAAAACGAAGCCTGAAAGCAGCAGCAGCTGCTCTGTCAAGCAGGGCTGGCTTGAAAAGGTGTCAGAACACTTCAGGGATGATGAGCTCTCGGATTAAAGATCAGATGCTACAACAAAGAGTAACAGTCAATATGGTAGGATGACAACCCAGTAACTAAGCACTGGTTTATGTCCACAAAGCACTAAGGCAGCATTAGGGAGAGTGGGAACTGCTGTAAGCTGGAGGTCACCATGAAACGATTGGCACTGCTGTGTTTGGCTTGAGAAAAGAAGAAAAACTGAACAACCCTTCAAATTATTAGGAATTAGGGGAACAGACAAACGAGAGGAATAAGAGGGAAAAGAGGGTCTGGCTTAAATAGGTAAATAATGACAGAAAGAATATTCCTGATGCCACGTGATGGGTGGTTATTCCATGTGAAGGCGAGGAGCTGCAGTCTGACACTTCAGATGCAACCATCAGGCAGGAGGAAGGAAACACAACAGCATTACGTGTGTTGGAAAGAGAGCAGGAACACCAAGGCATCATCAGATGCCCCCAGATCAAGAGTGGTGTCACCTACTGCTGGTGGCAGCTCCGTCCCCACGGGAGACAACAGCAGTGATCTCCATTCACCTCTACAGTGAACCACGAGGTTGGAAAATGGCTCCTCCATCCATCAGTCACTTGGGAAAGGAAAAGGTATTCCCAGCAGCAGTTCCCCTTCCATTACTCTCTGCTTCTCAGGCATAATCACAGAATCACTGAATGACTTGGGTTGGAAAGGACCTCAAAGATCATCCAGTTGCAACCCCCTGCCTCTCCCAAAAGTCACACAGACGTTGACCCGTTATCCAATCTCTTCTTCGTATTTTTAGATGTTTCCTGCACTCCATTCTGCGTTCTGGACTCAAATTTTTGAGCACATCAGACCAATCAAGAGTTGTGTCTTACACAAAGGAAGGGCACAGACAAAGCCGCTCTCCATTGCAGCGCTGACTGCGATTGTCCAGAGAAGGAAAGTCTCTCAAGCTGAAGCAACTCTTGCAAGAAAGTGAGGAAAAAGAGAGAAAACTTCTCCTTCTAACATCACTATTTTAATAACTGAAGTGATTTCCTGAGCTAGTTTGACACGTATTTTGAACTCTATGAGAGTCAACTTGGATCTGCTTTCTACAAACCCCAGTGGTAGCCAGAGGAAAGCGGTGTGGATGGGAACACATTTGTGCTGTATCCTACGCAGCTGAAAGAGCAAAACATTCACAAAGGCCACATCCTGCACTGCCCACATCTCTTGTTCTGGTGATGCCATAAGGGACACCCGTGCTCCAACCTCATCAGCGTGGCCCTGTGCTGTCCCAAAGGCAAAGGGATTAGTTGGTCAACCTCACACCAAAGCAACAGCATAAAGAGGAACGCAGCACTGATGCTCCAAAGGCCAAAATGAAGACGGAGCTGTTCTGGGTGGGACAGGCAGAGGAGTGCTGTGATGTCCCAACGATGAAATCTGCTGCTCTGATAGAAGTTGTTGTCCCACGATGAACAGCAGCCAACGCAGTGCTCCCAGTGCAGAGCTCCCACTGCTCCCATCAATCCCACGTGCCTCCATCACCACGAGGCCCAGCAGTGTTTGGGAAGCACCAGGAGATATCAGAGCAATGCAGGGCGATGGGTCCAGCAGCAGCACCAGCAGAAGCCAAGGGGTCCCAGCCCAGCACCCCCACGGGACAACCCCCCTCCCAATGCTCCTTCCCACGGTTCTGCCTCCAAATCCCCCCGGGGATCCCATCAGATCAAACTCTCGCACAGCCCCACTCCGCTCCGTGCCCGCTCTCGGCTCCAGGCCCAGCCCCGCTGCTTCCAGAGCCCCTCCGTCGCTCAGGCCCTCGCCCCCCACACAACCGGGCCCAAGGCCCGGCAGCTCCCGGCTCGGAGCCGGCCCCGCTCCTCGGAACCCATCCACGGACACTGCATCCCGCAGGGATCCAACCCGGCCCAAAAGCGATGCGGAAGACGCGGCCCCATCCCGGCTCCGGCCCGGCGCGACCCCACCGGCTCCGCACTCGGCTCCGCACTCACCTCCGCCATGGCCGGGCGCGAGCGGCGGCGGAGGTTGGTGGGGGGAGGGGGGAAGGGGGGAGAGCGGGACCCGGATGTGGCGGCGCCCGCTGATTGGCTGCGGCGCCACGAGGGCGGGGGGAGCGGCGGAGGCGCGGCGGGGTCAGAGGTCAGAGGTCAGGGGGCGGGGCTAAGCGGAGCGCGGGCTGAGTCCGGCCCCGGTGCATCGCGGATCCCATTCGGAGTGCAGGGCCCGAAACTGGAGAGCCGCGGGGAGCTCGGAGCCCCGGCAGGCCGGAGCGGGCGGAATCTGAGCCTCAATCACAGCGCTGTGATAAAGGCGGGGCCGGGTCTGAGGCCCGGCCGATACCGAGGGGTCGGTTCTGCTTTGGGCTCCGTTTCGGAGCTCCAAACCCACAGAGAAGCAGCTCCAGGTTGCCGTGCGAGTCCAGGTTCACTCAGACGCCTCCTTCCCTTCAGCCTGGAGGAGGCAGAGCTGCAGTGCCCCAAAAGTTTGGAAATAAAGACTGATTGCAGCAAATCCCTTTTAGCTCTCCGTAGCCGGTGGTGCTCAGGGCCGTGATTTAGCACTGGGTGGTTGGGGTAGGATGGTTTGGTTGAGGTTGGGCTCGATGATCTTGAAGGTCTTTTCCAACCTGAGCAGTCCTGCAGTTCTGTGATTGCCCATCTCTGCTCTGTTGTGCAGTGCTGTGCCAGAAGCACAGTTTTCCAGTGACCTGGATCTGCGTCCATGCCAGCTTCCAGCTCTCTGCTTAATGACTGCTGTGACAGCTGCCAGGCTGTGCCTCTCCCAGTGTCTGTGCCCAAACTGTTACACTGTGTCATCAGAATCAGCACAGAATTCGCCACCATCCTTCAGCCACCTGATGCAGTATCGTCCTTGGAAGATGTTGGGGTGGGCAATGGCAGCTGCTTGGCCTCTACAAAGCCCAAGTATTAGGGAAATGAGGTATCTAAATACGTACATTGACATGTGTGTATCTGACAGCCCAGCAGAGGGTAGGAGGTGGGTGAAGGCAGTGGGGGAGAAGGGATCTGTCCCCCTCACAACCCCTCCCCCTGCTCTGCCCATCCATCTTGCAGGACTGAAACCCAATGGCATCTCTTTGCTCAGAGGATAGCACAGCCCTGGGGTGCTCTGGGAGTGGAGGTGGAGCAATACAAGCCCTGGGCTGGGGGCTGCAGGATGCCCCACACTTCTCCTGGTACCCCGTCTGTCTGTCTGCCTTGGAACTGTGAAGACAGACACACAGCAGAGGGATGGGGGGCCGTAGAGATCCTCAGAGCTTAATCCTCCTGCACAGCCTCCTTCCTCTGCTCAGATCATCCCGTGCAGATGCTAATCTGCAGGAGGGAAGAAAAAAAAAAAAAGGATTTCACATTTAATTGTGGAACGTAAAGACGTTGCGGGGTCATTAAAACGCCATGGATATGGAAATGAAATCCACAGGTATCCATGCAGGTAACGGCAGGGAGCCGCAGGTAATGCTGGATGGTGGAAAGGTTGGCTCTGTCCCAAGGCATCATTAACCCCTGCTATAGGGCCTCGTGTCACAGCCACAGTCTGCTCTGAGATGAGCCCCTGGGTAAGCAGGGCTGCACCTCATGGGGTGCAGGCAGCAGGATTGGCCACTGAGCACTGCCTGGGTGCAGGGGAGATGCAGGCACTGCAGGGACAGCACTGGGTGCCCAGCTGCACTCAGCCCACCTGGATCGATCCCAGCCACAGCTGGGAAACTTTCCTCTTCCAGTTCCCATGGAAACGAGGAATTTTCTTCTCCCCAAACTTGAGCCCTCTGCAGGGACTGCAGGGCCAGGCAGCAGGCAGTGCTCAGCAGGCACAGCCCATTTGCTGGAAGCTGTCAATTTGAACACACCGAATCACAGAGTTGGAAGAGACCTTTAAAGATCCAACTCCCTTGCAACAAACAGGGATACCTCCAGCCCCATCAGGGTGCCCTTCCAAAGGCACAGAGCAGAGGCACGGATGCTCCTCCAGGGCTGCTCCTCCAGCCCTCCACATCCCCCATTTCTATCTCAGCTCCAGTGAGAGATCTCATGTGCACAGAGAGAATGCAGCCATTAGAAAGAAGAAAACATTTAATACTTTTATTCAGAGATACAAGATGAGATTTGGGGGTCTTTTTTTCTTTTCTTTTCCCCTTTACAAACCATTACAAAAAAGGTCTTGCAAGTTGTCCCAGCTGACAGACTCATCTCCATCCACCTGAGCAGGAGCCAGCAGCCCTGGGCCATGGCTGCAGCCCTCAGTGGGGCAGGGACAGGGCACTGAGGCCATCAGTCCCTTCGGCCCCCTGCACTGCTGGGAGCTGGGGGAGAAATCCACGTGTGCTCCCACATCCTGCACCAGGAGGGAGGGTCAGGCACTGGTGCCAGACGAGGGTCAGCCCACGGTGTAGCAGGGGACCAGACGTACATCAACATGCATGGTTAAAAACATTAAAAACGTTCTGTGTAAATGTAACAGGAGATGGAGCAGCTGCAGTGTGGGGCTGGCAGGGAGCTAAGGCTTGCATGCGTGGCCAGGAGGTTGCTGGTCAAGAAATGCAGTGCCAGAGCCCTGCTAAGTGCTGCAGCAGAGGTGCCAGGCCCCCAGAGCAGGGAAACCATTTTTCTATCAACACTGGAAAAGCAAGAAATGGAGCTCAGGAGCTGTGGATGCAGTGCTGTGCTCTCTTCCCCAGGAGCTGAGCACTGTAGCTCCCAGCCCCGTTCCAAAACGTGTATGGGGAAAGAGGTTGGGAGCAGCCAGGGCAGCCAGGAGCAGGGCAGAAGGGGTGCAGAGATATAAGATGCCTTTTCCACCAAATGCATTTGCAGGGTGCAGAAGCTGAAGGTCACAGAGCCCAGGGTGCAGCTTCTCCCAATGGGTGGAGATGAACATGGGGAGGGGGCAGAGGAGGGGCAGCAGGAAAGGCACGTGAGGATTAACCTGGTCCAAAGCAAGCAGCCCCAAAGAGCAAGCAGAGGGACTGCAGCTCAGCCTCATGGGGTTCTGATGGGGAGAACAAGCACAGAGCTAGCAGGTGAGAGGATCTTGCATGGGACCATTCTGCAATCTGCTCTGCCTCACCATGGGCAGGAGCCATCATCTGCCTCCCTTGTCTGGAGCTAAGAGTTGGACTCGATGATCATTAAGGGTCCATTCCAACTTGGGATATTCCGTAGGCAGACCCTGGGCTGCAGCCCAAACTGCCCCTTGAGTCACCCCTCAGTTTTGCAGGTAGAGGCTGCAGCAGGAAAAGCCCAAACTTCAGAAGCAACCCAGCTTAAAACATTTCCAGGGCAGAAAGGAACTGAACCGTGCCGTGCCACGGAGAGGACAGAGAGCCAGCACCATGCATCAGACATCTCTGCCCCTCTCCAGGGAGGGGAGGGACAGCACAGAGGCTCAGCACTGCCTTGAGCTGGTGTAGTGTTCCATCTGTGTCATAGTGTTGCTCTGCTCCGTGCTTTCTCCACTGAGCCCTGGCTCTGGGGTGCTGAGGAAGCTGAGTCCCTTCCCACAGCAGCTGGGTGTCAGATGGAGCAGGGGCTGTAGGCTGAGGGGAGGTGGGTAGTGTTCAGGGGCAGATGCCCACACCATCCTGAAGGAGGGGCAAACCTCTCACCCCTCCACGAGGCTCAGGGCTGCTCAGCACCAGGTGACCTGGGGTAATGATCAGCATGAAGGTCATGCACCCCGGCTCTCCAGCACAGCCAACCTGGTTCATATGGAAACTGGACCAAAGGAAAGACAAAAACTGGACAGGGAGAGGCCTGTGACCCAGCTTGAACGTACAGACTGGAAGAACCTGGCAGGATTCATAAAGTACCTAAGTTCAAGCACCAGAAGGACACAAAAAAAAAACCAAAAACAAAAGACAAAACATATTCTCCAGGATAGGGCTGTCTGACCCTTCTGGCTTGTTCCCTGGTGGCAAACTCACCCCGAGATGATACAGGAAATGGCCGTGTCTTCTCTCCCCACCTCACTAGAGGGCTCGTGTCAGGACAAACGTGGAATGCAGGCTCGGCCCTGCGCTGTGAGGGGGCACGAGTGGAGAGGAACGGGGAGAGCTGCCAATTCACTGAGGTAGCGGAACCAGCACTTCCACGTAGTTGAGTGGGAAGAAGCCTGACTGGCCATTGATCATGCCCTCGTACCAGTTTTCATCGATCTGGTTGGTCAGGGTGATGATGTCGCCTTCCTTGAAGCCAAGCTCACCATCGTTCTCGGGTTCAAAGTCGTAGAGCGCCTTGCAGCAGGGCTGGTCCAGGTGAGCTGTGGGGAGAGTGCATGCGAGGGGTGAGGAGGCTGCCTACAGTCCTGCCCCAGCCCCACAGCTGGCAGCCAGCCACTCACTCCAGTCCCAGACACCAAACCAGGTCTGGCAGAGCCAGGACTCACACAGCCCCAGTGACACGAGCGAGTATTGGGGGCTCTGCCCTGCCTGGGAGAAACTGTTTGTTAGCTCTGCCCCCAGGATGGTAAAGCATTAACTCAGTCTGAACTCTTCGATGGGTTTTAGCACAATGGCTCCTCTGCCTTCTTGTTCCAAACGTTTCCCTTCATAACTTGCTCCCAGAGCACAGCCCCAACCCCTGTACCTTCCCTGTGCCACCCACCCCACTCTAATGGGAGAAGAGCAGCCACTAAACTTTGCAGCTGTAGAGATTCTACTGAGAGCAAGCTGAGCTAATGCAGATCACCACAGTCTCCAGGGCCTTAATTCCCTTCCCTGTTGCTCAGCACCTGGCATGGCTCTGTGCTAGGGCAGGGGAAATGGCAGAACAGGAGGCCCAGCACACCTGGACTGCTGAACTTCCACAGCACAAGAGGGCTCAGCATTAGAAGAGAACTCAGAAAACACCAAAAGCAGCAGCCAAGCAGGTTCATTTCTGAGAGAGCTTCTCAAAACACCACGCTGGTTCCACAACCACAGCATATAACCCTTTCCAGGCTCCTTAAGCCCTCCTACCCCACTACTGTACCACCATGAGCCCCTCGCTTGCCCCACTCTGATGCCTCCAAGACACAG